TAGTGTGAAACAGTCATTGTCCCAGTCTGAACAAGCACAATGGCCAGGCCATCTGTTGTTACACGAAGGATGGCATGTTATTACATGAAGGATGGCATGGAGTGGAGCGTGACAGCGATGGGTTTGAAGTCCAAGCAGGACTTATTCCGACACGGATGGAAACAAGCCGGCGGGGGGGCGGGGCAGGTTGCTGACTGAACCCCTCAGCCGCTACCAAGGACCAGTGTGGAGGGCCTGGCCCTGGAGGAAGGAGTCCCCTCCCGGCTGTGGCGGTCTCGGCCTGGGGTCTTCCGAGCCAGGCGGCCCCAAGTTGCCGCCACAGCCTCACACGGGTGCTCGGGAGGGTCCCACTTCTGCTCCTCGGCCACTTGGCACTTAGTGACCCGGGACTGATGGCCTGCCAGGACTGTGGTGGACACTGTGGCCCTCGCAAGAGGAAGGAGCCGGCTTGGGCGCGGGCTCTGAAACAGGCCGAGGGGCGGGAGGCAAGTCAGGCTCTGGGGTGTTTGACACCTCACGAGCAGGCGGGAGAGGCTTCGTATTCGGAGGCCCAGGGTGGGGGCTGAGGAGTCCGGACCCTCTTCTAGGTGGCTGACTGGCTTCAGTACAGCTGTAAGTGGGAGGGACCACAAATCTAACCTGCTGGGCTGGCGAGGGGCCAAGAGCACTGAATTCTGCAGGCCTTTTTTGGAAAGCAAAGGCTCTGTCAGAACAAGACAAGGTTCTGCCCTCCCTGAAGAACAGCTGCAGCCGGGCACGGTGGCTCACACCTGTAATCCCGGCATTTTGGGAGGCAGAGGCGAGAGGACTGCCTGAGTCCAGGGGTTCGAGACCAGCCTGAGTAATTTGACAAGACCTCGTCTCTACAATAAATAAATAAATTAGCTGGGTGCGGTGGTGCACGCCTGTGGTTCCAGCAACTTGGAAGGCTGAGGCAGAAAGATCGCCAGAGCCCAGCAGGTCGAGGCTGTGGTGGCCATGAGCGTGCCATTACACTCCATCCTGGGCAACAGAGTGAGACTCCAGTTCAGCACCTCCCCCCGAAAAACAAACATCTGCTCAGGCCATGGGGAATAACTCCTCTCTTGTCTCCACATGTGGCGAGCAGACATCTGCCACCAGGTAAGTTCCTGTACCTGTCGGGGACTCACAGGGCACAGTCAGAGGCTCAGCATGCTGGGCCCACCCACTGGGCATGTTGTGAACACACACACAGGAGAGCTGGATCCCAGATGATCTGAGCGTAACTTCAGAGACACTTTGGTTATGTGAAGGTGTGATTTCCTGAGATATGTTATAATTGATGTGGGTAAGGTGGGCTCGGTGGCTCAGCCTGTAATCCCGCGCCTTGGGAGGCTGAGGTGAGTGGATTGCCTCGGCCCGCCGGTTCGAAACCCGCCTGGGCAGCGAGACCTCATCTCTACAATAAATCAAAAAATCAGCCGGGCGTGGTAGCGCATGCCTGTAATTCCGGTTACTTGGAAGACTGAGGTGGAAGGATCGCTGGAGCCCAGCAGGTCGAGGTTGTGGAGGCCGGGAGCAGCCACTGCACTCCAGTCTGGGCGACAGAGTGAGACTCCAACTCAAAAAAAAAAGAGTAAAATACAGTCGGCTCGGGGTCCGACCCTGCTGAGTGGGGTTTGATGTGGGTATCTAATTTGATTTTTTTGTGAAGGGAAAAATCTTATGGAAACGTCAGGCTTTTTCCATTTTAGTAACAGTGTTTGCCTTGCCTGAGCTTGAGGGCAGGGAGGCACGTCTCTGAGGACCGTTCAAGCGGCAGGGCTGGCTCCCGGCCCACATGGTGGCGCTTCGAAACATCTTAGTGATTGGGCTTGGGGACCAGTGCCGGGGTGTCTGCCCATGGGAACCCACCTGGGAAAGTGCTGCTAAGGTGGTCTACTCGTCAGCTTCACCAGCGCCAGCCCATAAGCAGGACACAGAGGGCTCTTATGGCTCCAGCACAGAAAGGCCTCTGAGTGCAACTCAGAGACACGCAGGGCTCTAATCACGTCTCTCCTGTGTAGTCTCGGTGGGAGGTCATGAAACTAATTGTGAGAACATGAGTTTGTTAGAATCTTCTCTTGGCGTGGATTCCAAGTGTGTGTGATGGGACAGAGTGGCTTGGTAAGAAGGCCTAGGCCATGTCTCCTTCCTCTGACTCAGGCCAAATTCACCTTCTCGGAGGGGGCCTTCCCGGGCCGCCCCCAGCCACAGCAGCCTGTCCGTCCCGCCACGCTGCTACCTTTCCCCAGCACTAGTCAGTCTGCACGTGTCCTCGGTGGTCATGTGTCCCCAGAATGACTGTCCAAAGGCAGGGCTGTCACTGCGCTATCCCCATGCTGGGCACACAGATGTGGATATTCACCGTCGAACCCCCAACCCTCACCATGAGTACAGCAGCAGAAGGCCCACCTCAGGGATCTGTGGGGTGGGGGCTGCCCATGGTGAGGGGAGAAAGCCTGACAGGTGTCCAAAGGGCGCTTGAACTGGACCGCCGGCACAGCTCACAGGCCTCTCTGTTGACGCGACGGCGGCAGGTGAGGCCGGCCGCACCCTCTGCCCTCCTCTCCGCCCCTCACACGCTGTCCTGACCATCCCAGGCGCCTGTGTCACGTCTACACTGGGAGCAACCTTGCCGTCTCTGTGGCCCGAGCAGCCAAAAAGAGCTGTGGCTGCTGGGCTAAGTCAAGCCACACCTTTGCAAAATATCATTGGACTCCGAGAGGAGCTACTCTGCTTTTGAGGGCCGGTCGTGGTATTATTTTCAAATACGGCAGAGTACTGCAGCACAGATCTTTCTCTCCACCACTTCTTTCAAGAACGGGACACCAAGCACGGCGGCTCTCATCCGCCGTTTTCTCGGGCTGTGGGCACTGCTGGCAGGTGTGGCTCACCCTCGGCCCCTCCTGCCCTGTCCCCAAGGCCTCCACTGTGCACTCGCACTCTCACCAAAGCTGCTCTCGTCACGCGAAAGGAGCACGTGGATGAGACTTGCACTGGGGCAGGGAAGCCTCGTGGGCACCCGGGGGCCTCGAGCGCCACCGCGCGCCCGGCAGGGCTGCTCTTCCCTCCAAGGCCACACGTGCAGGCCCTGGCGCCACCCGCGCATGTGCTGAGTGAGCGAGAACTGACTGACTGAGCGACGCTACCCTTGAAAGGGCCACAGCCAAACCGACCCTGGGGGGCCTCTGGGACTCCCCAAGTGAGTGTGCCCAGCACCTGCTGGGAGGGGCGCTGTGTGCAACCCCGCGCTGCTTCAACCAAGAAGCATGAAAGTTGTGACCATGGTTTCCTAACATTTCTTTCACTTTGATTTCTGTATGAAATTGTGACTGAGTGCTGAACTTTGGGCCCAGAGAAATAGGTGTAGGGGAGATAGGAAAATGTATCTTTCTAAATCTCTCCATACAGTTTTTCCAGGCAAGGCATTATACCAGCTGCATGTGCTGGTGACCAGTGTCCCTCATCCTCAGCAGTATACCCAAACACATCAGTGAGGAATGGAGGCCATTTCCCAGCAAACACCACGTACCTGCGGCTGGGACGGCCGACGATGCGCACCCATTAAGGATAAGACTCTGGCTGTCTTTTTTGAGGCCCATGTTTTATCAGTTCATAGCATGCTGGTGGCCGGACTTGGTGGCTCAGCCTGTAATCCCAGCACCTTGGGAGGCTGAGGCGGGTGGACTGCCTGAGCCCACAGGTTCGAGACTTAGCCTGGGCAACTTGGCGAGCCCTCATCTCTATGATAAATAGAAAATTGGTGGGCATGGTAGCATGTGCCTGTAGTTCCAGCTACTTGGAAGGCGGAGGCAAGAGGATCGCCAGAGCCCAGCAGGGCGACGCTGGGGTGGCTGTGAGCGTGCCGCTGCACTCCAGCCCGGGCGAGGAGTGCCCGAATCAAAAAAATAAAAGACATGCTAGGAGCAGAGATGGACAGTGAAGGAGAAAGTGGGTTTCCCAAGAACTCTAGCAGGGAGTTTGGTAGAGAAATGTATTTTGAAACGTATCTTGGGACCAGTAGCTCGGTATTTTTGAAGAGGAGCTGTGGGCCTTGGTCTCTCCAGCGCCCTGCCGGGGCCCCTTCAGGTGTGGAAATGAGAACTGCTGGGGTTAGTCAAGTTAGCAGCCCCTTGGAAGACAGTTCGAAGGGAAATCCTGTTTTACCTGATCTGTGCAGCTGAGGGTTTTCCAGCTACAGTTGTCTCCTGCAGGCCCCAGGGGACCAGCTGCAGCCTCTGCGGTGTCCCCAACTGTTCCCACCTGACTAGTCTGAAGTGTGCTCCAGAACTCACGGCAAGACAGAATTCTCTAGAAACTGCCTCTAGCTCCCTGTGCTCTTGAACACTCTGAGTCTGCACTGTGGCTTATTTCTGACAGAATGAGAGTTTTGTATCAAAGAAGCTTAAGCTAAAGTCATATGTTCTTGCTCATCGGTTTTTATGGCCTCATTAAGCATCTTAAGCCAGCCAAAGTGTTCACCTCCAGCTCACCGTCAGCATGGTGGTAGAGCTTTAACAAGGCATCACAGGTCAGAGCCTGCACCTCCCCCATGGGACGCAGAAAAGAACCAGTTTGGGCTGAGCTTGGTGCTGGGCCCACAGATGCTAGAGGCACAATCTGGAGACAAATCCATCTGCTCAAGTCAAAGCTTTACAGCTCACTCCCCATTATTTGCTCCTTTTCAGGACCTTAACATGAACTTAGGCCTGGGTCTGACCATGGTGGCGGGTGTCCCAACACTCAGAGGAGCAGGAATCATGAACATACACCAGCAGTGTTTCTAATGGCAGCTCTGACTATGAAATGACACACCAAAGTATCACCACACTACTACCACTCTAGTCAGCTGGAGTGTTCGGGGTGTGCCAGTGTTTCTGTGAGACGCTCATACGGGGCTAGTTTGAAACGCAATTTACCCAGGAACGAACCCAACTGAGGTCATTTGGATGAATGAGAATGTGAAAAAAGGTGACATGTACAAGGAAACATTGCTGTTCATATTCTTGAAATAGACTTTTCTTTGACGACAAAAGTAATGACATTTGGTTCATTGTCACAAATTGCACATGGGGTGAAATCATACAAGTACTACAGGGAACTGAAGGCAAGCAATTTGGTCATAGGAATTTGTTTCTTTGTTTTGTTTGAAATGAAAACGCTAGGAAATGCATAGCTTTGATTAAAACTACAGACACAGTTTCCTCTGTAAAACTCCAGGTTGAGAATGCTGGCAAAAGGCAGTGCTGGCAAAGTATTTAATGCACTATTCTATTTTGGCTTTCAGAAGTAGCCCTAGTAAATTCTATGCACCAATGCATTGGCTAATAATGATGATTTCAGTCACACTATAAATTATCCTAAATGTCACTTAAGAATTAGCGCTCGCTCCTTTCTAGAAGCTGTCTAAGGCAGCTGATGCGTCCAGCACCTCAACAGAAGGGTGGCTGCGGACACCTCCCTGGAGAGCTGCTCCTGCTGGGGACGTCCATGTTTATGCCTGCCTTGGGAAAGGCAGTCCAGGCCAGGGAGAAACATCAGAAGCAAGATCGTCCGGGACGGCCCCTTGTAGCAACCTCAACTCTGAAAACAACTGCGTGGCTGTGGGATGCACAGAGACCCTGCATCGGAAGATAACGAACCTCAGGCTGCCAGCTCTTCAGTGACGAGCCACCCCCCGCCCCTGTCGCCTCAGAAAACAGGCTTGGTTTCCAGTATGATCTATGCTCTGCGGGGCAGAGTTTTCATTCACACTACGTTAACTTTCATCTCCATCATCTCGGCCTCGTGGAATTTGCTGATTGTGTTTCTCTAGTTTTCACTGAACACACAGTGCAAACAAAGGCAAAGACGGAAGCAATCACTTCAAAAACAAGAGCTCACACTAAAAATACACATGAGCGTCACACACGGAAACGGAGGCTTTCTCTCGTCTTTATTCTGGGGAGGAGGAATCCTCCTCGTCATCTTCCTCGTCTTCGTCATTGAACGAACAGGGGGTCTCGCCTCGGGACTCGGAGCAGTGAGAAGCAGCACTGCTGGACTGGTGACTGTTTGGGGCCAGGAACTGCCCGGTTGCTAAGGCCACTTCAGCATCCAAGCATAACCCTTGGTTTACACTAGCAAACGATTAAAAACACACAGACGCATTAATGTCGTGTCAACATTTTTGTACAGCACAGGGATAAAGAGAGAAAGGCGACGCTACCGGCGAGACCTGCCACCGGCCCGCTGAGGGCCTGTGCCGGCAGGAACGCAGCCCTGGCTCGCCCCCTTGGAGAGTCAGGGCTCTGCGGTTTGCCTTTCTAACCTTGAAAGAAATACGTACCTTGACTGGGGTAAGGTGGCACCAGTGGTCAGGTCTAAATTTGAAGCTGACTGGGAGGAGTTCAGCAGTCCCTGATTTAACCAAGAAGGTCCTGTGGAGATATCTAAAGGAAAAAAATGAAAACAGAAGATAATAGGTCCTGCGAGTTCTGTGGCGGCTGTTATGGTCCAAAGAGAGCACAGAAAAGTGAGGGATAAGCTTAACTAATGTGGCTAGACAATTCTCCTGCCCTGGAGAACCCAGGTTTCTTCATCTTCTTGGAAGCAAAAATATTCTAGAACATAAGAGCAGGAAAAAATATAGGAAGGCAGACTCTTCTTTTGTCTTAGATAAGCCCTCCACAGGGCACCACTCTTGGCCACAGTGTCAGTGTATTATCCTGAACACATGTGGTCCTCATCACAAAAGACCTAGACTGTAGTGGTCACCGCCACAGCCAGGAGTGGGCAAAGAGAATGCCAAGTCAGAAATATCTTTGAGGCCAGGCGCGATGGCTCATGCCTATCATCCCAGCATTTTGGGAGGCTGAGGTGAGAAGGTTGCTTGAGCCCAGGGATTGGAGGCCAGCCCGGGCAACTTGGCGAGACCTCATCTCTGCAATAAATCAAAAAATGAGCGGGGCGTGGTGGCATCATGGTTATAGTCCAGCGACTTGGGAGGCTGAGGCAGAAGGTTGCCTGACCCCAGCAGGTCGAGACTGAGGTGACAGAGTGAGACTTCAACTCAAAAAATAAACAAACAAGTAAATAAATCTTAGGTAAGAAGGGCCGCCTACTGGCGGGGCAGACAGACACATTTTTGCCCAACCCCCGCTCCCCACACTGTCTCTTCAAGCACCCCCTGGTGAACTCAGTGCTGCAATTACTCATCAAAGACCCATTCTTTTCCTGACAAGTTTTTTCCTGGTGTCCTGTGCTTTATAATTCAAACTGGACCTTATTTTAAAAGGTCATATACAGTCATGTTTTTAATGAGGGGGAGACAGACATTATTCTGGATATCTCCTTGTAACCTTATTTTCTATGCATACTTCTCCTATTACAACACGGATCAATTCTCACTGTAATTTTACTTATTTAATATGTATCTCCCTGTACATAATATTAGTTCAAAACAGGGAGTAACTGGAATATATAAGTCTAAATGTTACTGAATATTGTCGTACTGTCTCTTTCAACAGTGACTTTACGAAGTATGTGGTAGACACATTAAAAATATACTCCTAAAAAGAAATTATTTGACTTACTTTGTAAGACCAATATATACTCAGAAAATGTAATCTGCCAATATGAGCTTTTATTTCATTGAATCAAAATTTTTTGAAATTACTGTGCAAAAAATAGAAAGTATATGTGCTTAGACTGGAAACCCTATGGCATCTTGCCACTGTCTGACCAAGTGAGGCCATTCCCGTGTAGGAAAAAAGTAAAATAAATGACTACACTAATTTTACAATGGGCTTGTAAACGTTTTTCTTCAGAGGCTAACTAAGGCAGATGTGAAAAAAAGGGACTTCAATTCCAAGAATAGCAGACTTTAAATATATTAAATAAGAACAAGTCTGTATAAGAAAATGAAATTAAAGCCAGAATCCTGTCCTGAATATTAATGAGCATACAGGACCATGGAACTTTCTGTCACAACAGGGTTATTTACTTGTTTGTGAGTGCAACACATTACGTTTTCTTTTTACACTGGATCTGAAAAGCCTACATTTCTTTCATAATAGTTCTCACACTTCTGCCCAAGAGCCATTCTGCCCTTCTGCACACTAAAGGCACACGTTTCTTTCTTTGAACTAACCAGCGAATCTGTGTCCCAGTCTGCAAATGAGGTCACGGAGAGATCAAAACCATAGAGCCTGCCTAATCGTCCTGAGTCTTTTCACTGGGAATGAGCTAAAGTAACGTTCTGGTGATTTATCGAGCAAGCCCTTTATTCAGACCCTGCCGGCCTGCCAATCTGACTGCTGCTAATGACACAGCGGGACCCACAGCCGGGAGAGCGCCTGGGAGCAAGGGGCAGGGTGGGCATTTGGGACAGGTGGGCTGAGGGACGAGGAGCGGCAGGGGGTAGGTGGTGCCAATTTAAGAGCTAATCAAACAGGAGCCAGATTTCAGTCGACAAACTCTTCTGTGTGACCACAAGCCAAAACCATAAAATAAAACAACATCTAAACTACCTTTTTGCTTATATATGGTTTAATATACTTTAGCACTCATATTAAAATACTTTTATTTATTTACTTGTTTATTTAATTTTTTTTTAGTTGAAGTCTTACTCTGTCACCCAGTCTGTAGTACAGTGGCATGCTCACGGCCACCGCAGCATCAACACGCTGGGTTCAGGTGATCCTCCTGCCTCAACCTTCCAAACAGCTGGAATTACAGGCCTGCACCACCATGCCTGGCTACTTTTTTTTTTTTAAATTGTAGAGATGAGGTCTTGCTAAGTTGGTCAGGTTGCTCTCGAACCCATGGGCTCAAGCAATCCTCTAGCCTCAGCCTCCCAAAGTGCTGGGATTATAAATGTGAGCCATTGCGCCTGGCTTAAAATGCTTTTAAAAAGTGATGACAAATTCTAGGTGGTAATACCTATAAATGAAGGAAATAAAAGAAAGCAAAAACATTGTTGTTTTGTTTTTTGAGTTGGAGTCTCACTCTGCCACCCAGGCTGGAGTGCAGTGGCACGTGCACAGCCACCACAACCAACCTACTGAGCTCAGGCGATCCTTCCACCTAAGCCTCCTAAGTAGCTGGAACTACAGGCACATGCCATCACATCTGGTTTTTTGATTTATTGTAGAGATGAGGTCTCACTAAGTTGCCCAGGCTGGTCTTGAACCGGTGGGCTCAGGCAATCCTCTCACCTCTCAAAGTGCTGGGATTATAGGAGTAAGCCACTGAGCCCAGCCAAAAACAGTTTATATATTCAAATTTTATTTGCAGAATATATAATATTGTTAGGAACTGGAACAACCAGGAAGATTTCTGTATTAGCAAAAAAGATCTTAATTATAGAATATGCAAAAAATACGTTTCCGTTTTTAAGAATACTCAGCGTACCCTTGTAACTCACAATAAAAAAGTAACTATTAAAAAATGGGCAAGGAACATGAATAGACATTTCTCCAAAGAAGACATAGACATGGCCAATAAACACACGAAAAGATGCTCCACACCAAAAGTCATCAGGGAAATGCAAACCAAAACCACAGTGAGACACCACCATTTCACATCCACAAGGAAGGCTAGAACTCAAATGACAGACAACAGCAAGTGTAAAAAGGACATAGAGGCCAGGCTCGATGGCTCAGCCTGTAATCCCGCACCTTTGGGAGGCTGAGGTGAGTGGACTGCCTGAGCCCGTGGGTTCAAGACCCGCCTGGGCAGCGAGACCTCATCTCTACAATAAATAAAAAAATCAGCCGGGTGTGGTAGCGTGCACCTGTAATTCCAGCTACTTGGAAGGCTGAGGCAGAAGGATCGCCAGAGCCCAGCAGGTCGAGGCTGCGGTGGCCGGGAACGGCCACTGCACTCCAGTCTGGGCGACAGAGGGAGACTCCAACTCAAAAAAAAAAGGACACAGAGAAACAAACTCTCATACACTGCTGAGAGGATCGTGAAGGATGCATCAGCTTTTTGGAAAACAAACCAGTTAGGCTGTTCCCTATAATGTTAAACACAGAGAAACAAGCTGAGCCAACAATTCTACTCTGAGGTATATACCCAACAGAGCTAAAAACATGTTTACACACACACTTTCACAAAAATGTTAGCAGCGGCATCATTCAAAATAGCCAAAAAGTGGAAACAATTCATATGGCCACCAATTGATGATGGATAAATACATTGTGGTACAGCCACAAAATGGAGTATTATTTGGCCATAAAAAGCAATGAAGTACGGACGACACTGCCCACAGGTGAGCCTTGAAAAAATAGTGCTAAGGGAAAGAAGCCATACACGAACAGCTCAGGCTGCATGACTCCATGGACACAGGAAATGTCCAGAACAGACAAATCCATAGTTATAGGAAATAGACTGGTGGCTTCCAGGGGCTGGGAGGGAGCAGGGAAAACAGAGTGACTGCTAACAGCTGCAGGGTTTCTTTTTGGGGTTTTTAATAAAAATGTTCTGGAATTTGGTAGTGGTGATGGTAACAACCTTGTGAATATACCAAAACTGTGCTCTTAAAAATGGAATATTTTACGGTATATGAATTAAATCTCAATTTTGAAAAACTGCAGTGTTACCATATCAGACCCACCTGTTTGGGAAAATAACACACTTCTCTGCTGGTGAGAGTGCACTTTGGTAAAATTAGATTGAAACTTTTTGGCACTATCTAGTAAAGTTGAAGATGTATCCAGCTTTGACTCAGTAACTTCAATCTTATGTTTGCACATGGGCACTAGGGCACACGTATAAGAATGTTGAACACAGCACTGGATATTAAGATCAAGAGATTGGAGCTGGGCGTGGTGGCTCAAGCCTGTGATCCCACCACTATGGGAGGCTATGGCAAGAGGATTCCCTGAGCCCAGGGGTTCTAGACCATCCTGGGCAACATGGCAAGACCTCATCTCTACAATCAATCAAACAATTAGCTGGGTGCAGTGGCACACCCCTGTAATTCCAGCTACGTAAAAGGCTCAGGTAGAAGGATCGCCTGAGCCCAGCAGGTGGCTAAGGCTATGGTAGCTGTGAATGTGCCATTGCACTCCAGCCTGGGCGACAGAGTGAGACACTGACTCAAAAAAAAAAATCAAGAAATTAAAAACAAACTAAAGATGGCCAATAAAGAACAAATAAACTGTACTATATGTACACAGTGGAATTTTTTTTTTTTTTGAGTCGGAGTCACTCTGTTGCCCAGACTGGAGTGCAGTGGCCGCTCCCAGCCACTGCAGCCTCGACCTGCTGGGCTCCGGCGATCCTTCTGCCTCAGACTTCCAAGTAGCTGGAACTATAGGCACGTGCTGCCACGCCTGGCTAATTTTTTGATTTACTGTAGAGATAAGGTCTCGCCAAGTTGCCCAGGCGGGTGTTGAATCCACGGGCTCAGGCAATCCACTCACCTCAGCCTCCCAAGGCGCAGGATTATAGGCTAAGCCACCGAGCCTGGCTCACAGTGGAATTTTATACAGAAATAAAGATGTAGGATTCGGCACAGTGGCTCACGCCTATAATCCCAGCTCTTTGAGAGGCTGAGGTGAGAGGATTGCCTGAGCCCATGGGTTTGAGACCAGCCCGGGCAATTTGGCAAGACTCTTCTCTACAATAAATAAAAAATGAGCCAGGTGTGGTGGCACACGCCTGTAGTTCGAGTTACATGAAGGCTGAGGCAGAAGGATCGCCTGAGCCCAGCAGGTTGAAGCTGTGGTTGCCGTGAGTGTGCAGCTGCACTCCAGCCTGGGTGACAGACTGAGACTCTGACTCAACAAAAAAAAATGTAGGACTCACAGCTACCATAAACCACATGGATGGCTCTAAAGAACATGATTCTGAGTGAAAAAAAAATCACATCAGTAAAGAATGTAGCACTATGATTCCATTTATAGAGTCAGAAGTAGGCAGAATGAAATAATAAATTTTTTCTAGTTGGCCAAGTCTGTTTGTATCTTAAAGAAAAGCAAGTGAAGGATAAAAACATTCAAGAGTGGTTCCACTTCAAGGGTCGGTAGGGCGCAGAGCCGAGAGTGGGCACCCAGGGGATGCGAGCAGTCGTGCTGTCTCCTCAGCCAGATGGGAGTCAGGGTGGGGAAACACTGTAGTGGGACTCTTCAGACTCGACATGTAGAAATATTCTTTTGTATCTATTCAATATTTAACAGAAACTAAGACTGGGGAGAAAGGAGGAAGAAATAGTAAACACAGTGAACTCAAAGAGGTTTGTGCACAAATATGAATCCATATCTACCCCATTCTGTCCTTGTTTTCTGATGTGTAAACCTTTAACTACATTCCTCCTTCCCAGTTTTTTTTGAGTTGGAGTCTCACTCTGTCACCCAGACTGGAGTGCAGTGGCCGCTCCCGGCCACTGCAGCTTCGACCCACTGGGCTCCGGTGATCCTTCCGCCTCAGCCTTACAAGTAGCCGGAACTACAGGCGCGTGCTACCACGCCCGGCTGATTTTTTGATTAATTGTAGAGATGAGGTCTTGCTGCTCAGGCGGGTCTCGAACCCACGGGCTCAGGCAATCCACTCACCTCAGCCTCCCAAAGGCGTGGGATTACAGGCTGAGCCACTGAGCCTGGCTCATTTACCAAGCTTTTACTAGCTTACTGTAACTAGGCTCTTGATTAGGCACTGGGAACTAGAGATAAAAGATAACTCCGAAGAGCCAAATTTAGTGGTGAGTCAGCCAATTTAAATGTACATAAAGTGTAAGATCATAATGTTATGAAATAATCTAACCTAATTTTTGAAAACAACTCCTACTTCATCATATAAAGTGCTAAAGGTGCAATTTGGTGGTGCAAGCACAGATTTTCTCAAATTTTGCAGTTTTCTACAAGAAAGGTTCTGACAAGCCAGGGCTTGACACTTAATCAGGGACATGTGGAAGCATCACTTAACATACCTGTGATGTAGCCTTCCAAAGCCTTTGGCACCAGTGACTTAGCAAGTTTCAGATCCTCCAGAGAGCATTTGCCTGACTCCAGGCCAAAGGACATTCCCATCCGCTTCAGGACCTCTATATCATCATGGATCTCAAAGGTGTTGTCAAAGTTAAAAAGATATTCAAACCTGCGGCAGGAAACAAAGTATGGGGTTTTTGGTGGCATTAACAGTTTTCTACCCTATATTTGAAAGAACATTTAAAGAACAGAATGAGGGCCTAAGTTCGGCTATAGTGTTTGTATGTTGCTTTTTTTTTTTGAGTTGGAGTTTCACTCTGTTGCCCAGGCTGGAGTGCAGTGGCATAACTCACAGCCATCACAGCCTTGACCTGCTGGGCTCGGGCGGTCCTTCCACCTCAGCCTTCCAAGTAGCCAGAACTACAGGCATGCACTCCCACGTCTGGCTAATTTTTTGATTTATTATAGAGACGAGCGAGGTCTCACCATGTTGCCCAGGTTGGTCTTGAACCTGTGGGCTCAGGTAATCCTCTCACCTAGACCTCCCAAAGTGCTGGAATTATAGGCTTGAGCCACTATGCCCAGCCAAGAAATTATTACCATTTAGAACTATGGGTCATTTTGCTGTGTTCAGGGGAATGACATCCATCTCAAATCAACCACTTTCCTGTGATGAACAACACGGGTTCATAAACTTCAGCCCTAACACTGGTGCAAACAGGAGATAGAAATTTTTTTTTTTTTTTTTGAGTTGGAGTCTCACTCTGTCGCCCAGACTGGAGTGCAGTGGCACGCTCCCGGCCACCGCAGCCTCTGCCTGCTGGGCTCCGGTGATTCTTCCACCTCAGTCTTCCAAGTAGCCGGAATTACAGGCATGTGCTACCACGCCCGACTTATTTTTTTTTTTTAATTTATTGTAGAGATGAGGTCTCGCTGCCCAGGCGGGTCTCGAACCCGCGGACTCAGCCAATCCACTCACCTCAACCTCCCAAAGGCGCGGGATTACAGGCTGAGCCACCGAGCCCGGCTTAATTTTTTTTTTTTGAGTTGGAGCTTCACTCTGTCACCCAGGCTGGAGTGCAGTGGCCCGCTCCTGGCCACTGCAGCCTCAACCTGCTGGGCTCCAGTGATCCAACACGCCCGGCTAATTTTTTGATTTATTGTAGAGATGAGGTCTCGCCAAGTTGCCCGGTTGGGTCTCGAACCTGTGGGCTCAGGCAATCCTCTCACCTCTGCCTCCCAAAGTGCTGGGATTACAGGCTGAGGCACCGAGCCTGGCCAGAAATTTTGTTCTAATTTAATACTTTTCAAAGTTGCCTACAGCTTTACCACAAAAGAAAAGTTTTACTTTTTTTTTTGGTTTTTTTTGTTTTTTGTTTTTGTTTTTTGAGTTGGAGTCTCACTCTGTCACCCAGACTGGAGTGCAGTGGCCGCTTCCGGCCACCGCAGCTTCGATCTGTTGGGCTCCGGCGATCCTTCTGCCTCAGCCTTCCAAGTAGCTGGAACTACAGGCGTGCGCTACCACGCCCGGCTAATTTTTTGATTTGTTGTAGAGATGAGGTCTCATCAAGTTGCCCAGGCGGGTCTCGAACCCACGGGCTCAGGCAATCCATTCACCTTGGCCTCCCAAAGTGCTGGGATTACAGGCTAAGCCACCGAGCCCGGCCAAGAAAAGCTTTTCTAACTGAATAATCTGATATTCCTACTATGAGTTGGCTTAGTAACTTTGAGGAAAAAGACATCTTGAAAGCTAGCTTCAATTTCATGAGTCAAGGGCTAGCTACAGTCTACTTTAGATAGACAATAAATGAAGAACTTTTAACAAAAGAAACCAACCCCCAAATCCTGTCTTGTGAGGCTACGGAAGAAGATGTTTCAAGGAAAAGACACATGTCATACGCTGTACATTTCCAAAAAGCCCCCAATCCAGACACCCAGCTGCCCAACAACCTCTCAATCAAGAGGCAAGCGTAGGATGACAGTTCTTCTGACTCCTAGGTTGGCCCTGGAGAACCTCCACCCATGGGCCTCAGCCCTGCAGGGTAGAGTTCGGGGACAATGGTGGGTTTTACCTTATCATGAAATTCTTTCTATTAAGATCATGTGAAGGGTGAAACTTTTTATGCTAGATCTTAGGGCTAGAATACAGTTTGAAGCAAAATGTCATACCTGAGTGTGTGACTTTGATTAAAGTACATTAACAAGTCTTCAGAAAACAACCAAAAAGAAGCTGACGTGGTGCCTTTCACAGGGAAGGTTTCAGGCATCTGTTTAAAGCAGATCCGTTTTGTAACTGTAATCCTCATTGTGAAAAAGCGTCTTGGCTAATTAAGGGGGAAAATTGCATCGCCAAAGTCACTGAAGAGGAGGTTTTCAGACCTGCCCTGAATAACGAGTCCGGGCAGGCTGCTCAGAGCCTCCTTCCTCCACTCAGAGGGAGGCGGGGAAGGGCATGAGTCAGTGACCGCCCGAGAAGTGGAAACCTGACCAGATCCCAGCCAGGGTGGACAGCGCTCATCGTTTCCCTAGGCCAATGGTTCCCAGATTATTCTGTCATTCTCTTTAGGCTTAGACCTAAGAAGAGCATTTTATAATTCCTCACACAAAACAAGAGACTAACTAGTTAGAAACTAGAATGCTAAGTTTTGTTTTGTTTTGAAAGATGTTAACTATTGGCTGGGTGCAGTGGCTCAAGTCTGTAATCCTAGCACCTTGGGAGGCCGAGGAGGTGAGAGGATTGCCTGAGCCCACGGGTTCGAGAACAGCCTGGGCAACTTGGTGAGACCTCATCTCTACAATTAAAATAAATAAAAATTAGCCAGGCATAATAGTGCGCCTGTAGTTCTGGCTACTTGGAAGGCTGAGGCGGAAGGACTGCCAGAGCCCACAGGTCGATGCTGGGGTGGCCGTGAACATGCATGTCACTGTATTCCAGCCTGGGTGTCAGAGTGAGGCTCCAACTTAAAAAAAAAAAAAAAACCTGCCTGAGCCTGCGGGCTCGAGACCCACCTGGGCAACTTGGCGAGACCTCATCTTTAATAAATCAAAAATTAACCGGGCGTGGTAGTGCGCGCCTGTAGTTCCAGCTACTTGGAAGGCTGAGGTGGAAGGATCGCCGGAGCCCAGCAGGTCGAGGCTGCGGTGGCTGGGAGAGGCCACTGCACTCCAGTCTGGGCAACAGAGTGAGACTCCAACTCAAAAAAAAAAAAAAAAAAAAAAGGCTGGGTGTGGTGGCTCAACCCAGTAACTCCAGCACTGTGGGAGGCCGAGGTGAGAGGACTGCATGAGTCCAGGGGTTCAAGACCAGCCTGGGCAACTTGGTGAGACCTTGTCTCTGCAATAAATCAAAAAATAAGCTGGGCATGGTAGCATGTACCTGTAGTTCTAGCGACTTGGAAGGCTGAGGTAGAAGGATCACCTGAGCCCAGTAGTTTGAGGCTGTGGTGGCCGTGAATGTGCCACTGCACTCCAGCCTGGGTGACAGAGTGAGACTCCGACTCAAAACAAAAACAAAAACCAGACCTGGCTTACTTCACAGTCAACATGACCTCTGCTAGTTTTCATTGTGTCCATAGTCACAATTTTAAGAGAGATTCGAAATCCCTGCTGACTATTTTCCTTCTCTTATTTTGTGTGTGTCTTATTTAAGTGTCCCAGAAGCTCTGTGTAGAACAGAGATAGACAGGGGAAGCTAAGCACCAGAGAACAGTGGGGAAAACCAGGGGCACAAGGCCCATGGGCAATGCCGTAGCTCAGAGGAGACAGGAAGTTGTCTCCTGGGACAGTTCTGGGGTCTGCCTGTGGCCCTGGGGCAATTACTAATGGAGTCCTTTGCTTTCACAAACATCCCAGTTTGGACAACAAACTTACATGCTGCCCTCTTGCAACAGCAGCTACATTCACAAAGTGCATGCCTCGAGTCAGATCCTTTATAGGCATGACCTCCTCTGACCCCCACAGGCTGGGAGTGAGAGGCCCTAGCAGCATTCCTCTTGCTCTTGAGAAAACAGAGCTTGGGAGCAGGGGTGTGGGGAAGCCACAACTCATACTCAGCTCCGTCTCCGCCTGTGCCCTCAACCCTCTCACGATACTGATCACAGCCTGAAGATCAGAGGTAGAAACTTTTCATGAAGAATAAAACAAATGACAAATTGATTCTATACTTTAAAAAGTGTTGTTGCTTATTTGCTGTGATGAATATTACAGCCAGCGGGTGTGAGACCAGGCTAGGCAAACTGGCGAGACCTCATCCCTGCAATCAATTAAAAAAAAAGTTAGCCGGGCATGGTAGCACACACCTGTAATTCTGGCTACTTGGAAGGCTGAGGCGGAAGGATTGCCAGAGTCCAGCAGGGGTAGCCATGAGCGTGCCACTGCACTCCAGCCTGGGTGATGGAGTGATTCTGATTCAATAATAATAATAATAATAATAATTTCTTTAAAAAAAGAAAAAAGCAAAACACACACCAGCACTCATGTGTACTCATTCATTCGTGAATAAACCAAAGCACAGGTCACTATAATGTAGTAAAACAAAGAAATAGTTGCTTTTTTTTTTAAATGACAAGGTCTCACTCTTTCACCCAGGCTGTAGTACAGTGGCATGAACCCAAATCATTGTAGCCTTGACCTGCTGGGCTCCAGTGATCCTCCCCCTCAGCTTCCCGAGTAGCTGGGACTACAGCCTTGTGCCACCATGCCCGGCTAACTTTTCTACTTTGTGTAGAGATGAGGTCTCACTATGTTGCCCAGGCTGATCTAGAACTCCTGAGCTTAAGCAATCCTCCCACCTTGGCCTCCTCCAAAGTGCTGGGATTACAGGTGTGAGCCACCGTGCCTGGCCAATAATTGGTTTAATACCATATGTTGATCTAAAATAGTTTCTAAAACAAACTAGGACAGTGAATCACCAACGAACCTACCTTGTCCTGGGCCCTCATGATGGCGTCTACCTTATTTGCTCAGTGTTACCACATATGGCATGCGGCATGTCACATGCGGCATGTCACAGCGGCATGTCACAGCTCGGGTCCTGTCACTGTCACACACATAGCACAGGTAGCACAGTGCCTGGCAGGGTGAGTGACAAGGCTCACACCAGTAGAAGACAGCATGCCTGCTTGAGAAGGCGTTTCACATGCCCCAAAGAAGACGGACAACAGATTGCAGCCTTCTCTCTTTTGCAAATGATAGGGATATGTGAACAGAAAGCCAGCTGCACTCCCACCCCAACAGGTCTCCAACTCACTTGTCACTGGAGATGCTGCAATCTATGACTGTTTTTCTGCTTGTATTGATGATTATAAATGGCAGCTGAATGGTCGAGTTCAGAGCCGGAGGGCCTTGGTTCTGTTGCTCATTTTGCCGATTTCTCTGTACCAGGTTCTTGAAAGCAATTTGCTGTAATGATCAATAAAAAGAACACAGTCATTTAATGTGGATAAGTGAGCTGAAATTTAAATGAATTGAGATAATACATTTATTTTATTTTTTTTTGAGTTGGAGTCTCACTCTGTCACCCAGACTGGAGTGCAGTGGCTGTTCCCGGCTACCGCAGCCTCGACCTGCTGGGCTCCGGCGATCCTTCCGCCTCAGCCTTCCAAGTAGCTGGAATTACAGGCACGCGCTACCACGCCCGGCTGATTTTTTCATTTATTGTAGAGATGGGGTCTCGCTGCCCAGGTGGGTCTCGAACCTGCAGGCTCAGGCAATCCACTCACCCCAGCCTCCCAAAGGCGTGGGATTACAGGCTGAGCCACCGAGCCCGGCGAGCCTCGTGGTTTCTACCATCCATAAACACAGGACCTTGCAATCTGGGAGGCAGCCAGTGGCACCTGCAACTTTCTGTTGAGTGACACAGCAAGGCAGATGCCATTTATCTAACACAGAATCCTGAGAATTTGGGGTATATATGCCTTTGAAATGGTCCAGCCCAAGGATATGCAAACGTGTAGAGGCCATGGAATCCTTTCTTCAAATAAAACCTCATGAGAAGCCCACTATATAAAACTGATGGAAGGGGCACTGTTCTCGCTGGGTGACTGGGGCCAGGTCCTAAACTCTGCCACTATGCCCTCAGGCATGGCCATGTGGCTCCTAAGGCACCTCCACAGAACTTCTCAGCACCCTCTGGACACAACTTGGAATCCACCCCAAGCCTCCCTCACCTGACACTTCCAGATGAGGAAACTCAGGTTTATCCCTGATTATAAGATAACATCTGCTGGGCATGATGGCTTACACCTGTAATCCCAGCACTTTGGGAAGCAGAGGCAAGAGGGCTGCTTGAGACCAGGGGTTCGAGACCAGCCAGGGCAACCTGGTGAGATTTTTTTGTCTCTACAATAAATCAAATAATTTGCTAGGCATGGTGGCGCATGCCTGTAGTTCCAGCTAACTGGAAGGCAGAGGTGGAAGGATCGCCTGAGCCCAGCAGGTCAGGCGATGAGCTTGTGGTGGCCGTGAGCTTGCCACTGCACTCCAGCCTGGGTGACAGAGTGAGATTCTGACTTTAAAAAAAAAATTATATGTGTGTGTGTGTGTGTGTGTGTGTGTGTATTGTTTCACATGCCCCAAAGAGTTGGGGTCTAACTCTGTCACCCAGGCTATAGTGCAGTGGCATAATCATGGCTTATTGTAGCCTCCACCTCCTGGGCTCAGGTGATCCTCCTGCCTCAGCCTCCTGAGTAGCTGGGACTACAAGCATGCGCCACCATGCCCAGCTAATTTTTAAATTTTTTTTGTAGAGACGGGATCTCGCTATGTTGCCCAGGCTGGTCCTGAACTCTTAGGTTCAAGTGATCTTCCTACCTCAGCCTCCCAAAGCACTGGGATTAGAGACACTGTGTCCAGCCTGAATCCTTATACCGATTCTTGCTGCTACATTTAGTTATAGCCATTACTCAAAAGCCAAAGAAAGTGACCGCCCCATTTTCTTTTAATAAGGCAAATGTTTCATAGAATTTCGTAGCTAGAAAGACTTTATGTACTTCAAGTTTTTCATCCATTCAAGAGACTGATGTTTTAAAAGGCCCCAAAGTCAGAGCTATTCATTGTCTTTCATTAGCTTGTTACATCTTGTCACCCAGTGGTAATGAACTCAAGTTATTGTCTACATTTAAGAAATCTTAGCCGGGCTCGGTGGCTCAGCCTGTAATGTAATCCCGCGCCTTTGGGAGGCTGAGGCGAGTGGATTGCCTGAGCCCGCGGGTTCGAGACTCGCCCGGGCAGCAAGACCTCATCTACAATAAATCAAAAAATCAGCCGGGCATGGTAGCGCATGCCTGTTATTCCGGCTACTCGGAAGGCTGAGGCGGAAGGATCGCTGGAGCCCAGCAGGTCGAGGCTGCGGTAGCCGGGAGCGGCCACTGCACTCCAGTCTGAGTGAACGAGTGAGACTCCAACTCAAAAAAAAAAGAAATCTTATGCTCAGGATTGTTACTTTCCAGTTGTGGGCCTTAACTAAAGCTTCATTAAGATCACACAGCTGGCTGGGCGCGGTGGCTCACGCCTATAATCCCAGTACTTTGGGAGGCAGAGGTGAAAGAACTGCCTGAGCCCACAGGCTCAAGACCAGCCTGGGAAACTTGGTGAGACCTCATCTCTACAATAAATCAAAAAATTAGCCGGGCATGTTGGCGCGTGTCTGTAGTTCTAGTTACTTGGAAGGGTGAGGCGGAAGGATGTCCTGAACCCAGCAGGTTGAGGTTGCGTGGCCGTGAGTGTGCCACTGCACTCCAACCTGGGCGACAGAATGAGAAGCCAACTCAAAAAAAAAAGATTACACAGTCAGGTGTGGTGACAGATGCCTGTGATCCCAGCACTTTGAGAGGCTGAAGCAGAGTCCTTACATATACAGGGTGCCACAAAAATGTATACATATGTCAAGAAAAAAAAAGTCCTATTAAAATTGTAATACTCGGCCGGGCTTGGTGGCTCAGCCTGTAATCCCAGGACTTTGGGAGGTCGAGATGAGTGGATTGACTGAGTCCTCAGGTTCGAGACCTGCCGGGGAACTTAGCTAGACTTCATCTCTACAATAAATAAATAAATAAAATCAGCCGGGCGTGGTAGCACATGCCTGTGTGCCTGTAATTCTGGCTACTCAGAAGGCTGAGGCAGAAGGATTACCGGAACCCAGCAGGTCGAGGCTGCAGTGGCTGGGAGTGTGCCACTGCACTCCTGTCTGGGCAATGGAGTGAGACTCCAACTCAAAAAAAAAAAAAAGTAATACTCAACATATACCAATAACAAAAGGTGAATACAAGTCACGTTCAAGAGGTGCTCAAAGTGGTTACCATCAGCATCCAGACACTTCTGATTATAGCTAACTAAAAGTAATATATAAATAACATTGCTTCAAATGTGTGTACATTTTTTTGCACTCCTGGTATTTATGATTCACTGTTTAATACTCTGTACATTTATAGCATTAAAGGTTTTTTTAGATGAAGAGAGCAGTAAAAACATAATGTTTTATTTTTAATTTAATTTAAAACTTTTAACTCACAGTCACAAATTCACACACAATGTTATTTTGACACTAAAAACAAAAATCATCTTCCATTTATTCTGAACTGATTTCCTTTGGCCTTTTGTACCTTTCCACTCTTATACTAGAGGCTGAACAGTTTTAAGTGTGCTCAGACATTCATTTTGCTGAGTATAAGTAGATATGAAAGAGATTCAAGGGCCGGAGGGGACAATACTACAGATAAAAGCTGGGTGTCTGGATTATCTGTGGGTATTAATTTCCTCACATTGCTCTTCCTTGAATTGTCAAGAATTAAAAAAAAAACCCCTTCAGGTCCCCTCCTATTGTGGGAGCTTTTCTGTCCTCTAAATAATTCCAGCTTTCTCACTTAAAAAAAAAAAAGAATAAAGAGAGGTGACAGCATGTAGGTAATAGTTACCTATATCATCTAATATCAGTGAGCTGTGACATTAACTTACCAAAAAATCAAGCTAGCTTAGTTACGGCAAATTATTAGTATTCAGTGACAACTTCATTATTAGTATTTCTGTGACAACTTCATAAATGTTATTTGATGAAAGAAAGAAAAACAAAACACTAGGAAGAAATACGTTTTGTGACCATCAGAAGATTAGAAGTTGTTTTCAGTTATATGTAGGGTTTCATTTTAAGATTTAGAGCAATGTATTTCCATAAATGCTGACAACTAGGTTGCCCCTGGGATGAAATCATCTATAAATATTTGGTTTGAGAGACAGAAGAGGAAAATTAATTTAGTACTTGGAAACTCCAAGTACTTGGAAACTCCAAGTACAGGTCAGGCACAGCGGCATATGCTTGTAAGCCCCAAGCTTGGGGAGACTGAGGTAGGAGGAGTGCTTGAGCTCAGCAGCTCAAGACCAGCCTAGGCAAAATAGCAAGACCTAGTCTCTATTTAAAAAAAAATCAAAAAATTAGCCAGAAATGGTGGCATACACCTGTAATCCCAGCTACTTGGGAGGCTGAGATGGAAGGCTCGCTCTCTTGAGCCCAGGAGGTTGAAGCTGTGGTGAGCCATGATAATGCCATTGCACTCCAACCTGGGCAACAGAGTGAGACTCCGACTCACTCATAAATAAATAAATACAATGTTCACTAACAGAGATAAGCAGAGGAAACATATCTAAGCCCATTCTTTGTGCTGGCCATCGAGAGATGAAAGTCCCACACAAAGGCAATCTTGCTCAGCACCATTCTCTCTGATAAACAAACAGATAGTTGCAGGCATGTTGATAAACGGGTTTTTAAAATAACATATGCCCTCCCCCCCCCAAAAAAAATCAAGCTCCAATACAATCCCTGGTTTTGAGGAAATTCTAGAAGCCCCCAGCACAGGGTTGAGGGACCGTGAGCTGGTGGGGAAATACTACAGATAACCGCGCAGGGTTGGGGACAACAGAGAGGCAGCAGGGAAGAAGACAGCACAGCAGTTAGAGGAGGAGTGCCTGCAGGATTCCCAGGCAGGAGCTTTTTTAAAAAGCCACAGAACACTTTCTTCAAACAAAACCTTATTTGGAAACCCAGTATGAAAAATACAGAAAATAGCTAGGCTCAGTGGCTCAGCCTATAATCCCATGCCTTGGGAGGCCGAGGTGAGTGAATTGCCTGAGCCCGCGGGTTCGAGACCCGCCTGGGCAACTTGGTGAGACCTCATCTCCACAATAAATCAAAAATTAGCCGGGCGTGATATTGTGCGCCTGTAGTTCCAGCTACTTGGAAGGCTGAGGCGGAAGGATCGCCGGAGCCCAGCAGGTCAAGGCTGCGGTGGCTGGGAGCGGCCACTGCACTCCAGTCTGGGTGACAGAGTGAGACTCCAACTCAAAAAAAAGAAAAATACAGAAAACGCCTATCCCAATGTGGCTCCTTGGGTATGCCCCACGGGTTCTATGTGAAAACCTGACACAGTACACAGCAAACATGAAAGAAACAGCCTCATCAGGACAGAACATCGGCACGGGGCTTCCCGTGTCCACAGCTTCTGCTACACCCACTGCCCTCTGCTGGGCCTGCTGCCCCTCCTGGTCCCTGCACTCGGTCAACCATGGGTCTCAGAAGGGCTAACTTGTCTTCTAGAACCTCTGACTTATACGTAAATGTGAACACATAAAACCCCACTGCAAACGTAACCATCCAGAAAGTGAAAAGCGAAGCACCTGGAGTCTTTAGGAGTACAGCATATTCTGGCCATCAGAAGTGAGTGCTGAAGGAAAAAACCTGCTATAACGTTTGGGAACTTACTGCTTCCTTATTTCTGAAAAGCGAATTACACCAAAAATTCAACGGGAACTTGAGTTGTTCAAGGCAAAGGATTTTATGATTGGTTGTAAAGTTTCTCATACAAAGACATTCTTCTGAGAAAGCAAACGCATAAAGGTTCCTTGGTTCATTTTTCAAAGCTAGTCTAATTGGACTGAAAATGGTCCGTATGTATGCACTACTCGAAGTAAATTTTTCCACCAATTGCAATTACTAAAAATAGAAGGAAAGAAAAGTTCACGTATCCTGTTATTTTACCTCACATGATATTGTACAACGGCTCTATTAGACTTTAAAAAATCATCCAAATTCTAGGTCATTACCCAAAAAACTATAAACATAGGGATCCTTATTAAACTATAAAACCCATTTTTCTTTTTTCTTTTTTGAGTCAGACTCTCACTGTTGCCCAGGCTGGAGTGCAGTGGCATGTTCATAGCCACCACAGCCTCGACCTGTTGAGCTCAGGCAATCCTTCTACCTCAGCCCTCCAAGTAGCTGGAACTACAGGTGCGCACTCCCAGGCCCAGTTCATTTATTTATTTTTTTGATTTATTGTAGAGATGAGGTATCACCAAGTTGCCCAAGCTGGTCTCGACCCCTGAACTCAGGCAGTCCTCTTGCCTTGGTCTCTCAAAGTGCTGGGATTACAGGCTTGAGTTATTGTGCCCGCCTAAAACCTGTTTTTCTTTTTTTTGAGTTGGAGTTTCACTCTGTTGCCCAGACTGGAGTGCAGTGGCCGCTCCTGTCCACCGCAGCCTCGACCTGCTGGGCTCCAGTGATCCTTCTGCCTCAGCCTTCCGAATAGCCAGAATTACAGGCATGCGATACCACGCCTTGCTGATTTTTGATTTATTGTAGAGATGATGTCTCGCCAAGTTGCCCAGGTGGGTCTTGAACTCACAGGCTCAGGCAATCCACTCACCTCAGCCTCCCAAGGCGTGGGATTACAGGTTGAGCCACCGAGCCCGGCTCCTATTTTTCTTAAATGCATTTTATATTTTGGTATTTCTAAATGCATTTTATATTTTGGTATTTCTATAAATGCATTTTATATTTTGGTATTTCTATAAATCTTATAGGATCATTACATGTCATTCTGTCATTTACTGATAATTAAGTATTCCAGGTAGATTTGATTACTGTACTTATAGCATCTAAGATCTAACTAGCCTTACTAGTTGATATTCCAAACAAGGGCAAAAATAAACCCAAAAAGACTCCTAACGGTTTATGCTCAGAGGAAGCAGGAGCAGCAAGTGAACCGTTGCAATGTGAGTCAAACAGGGAAGCTGCCAGGGGCCGGATGATAGTGAGAGATGGGACCATCTTAACGGCAGAGCAAGACCAGGAGATGAAGGAGGCTGCTGGTGTGTGCCCACCAGATACTCTTAGCGGCACCACAATTCGAAAACACACTGACTGTAAGAGCCTGGAAGTGGAGAAACAGGAAAGGTGAAGAAAAACATCTTTACCTGCAGGAGAAGTTCTTGCAGCTGGGCCCGCTTCTGCTTTATCCGTTCTATCCGCCTCTGCTTCTCTATCTTTAAGACATTGGTGACAAAATAAGATGAATGTAAGTAGAGTGTAAATAGAGTGTAAAGTATCACTCACTTTCCAGGTCCCTACTCCAAGATATCAAGAATTTTTCTTAGAGAAACTCATCCCCATTTAACTATCAATACATAAAAGGCAAAACACACCTTTTATGGGGGCAGGGGTTGGGGTGAGTGAGCAGGTATGACAGTAGAATTGTAGCAAACTGTCATCCAGAATGAAATCTACCCACTTAATAAACACTTGGTATGCAGCACCTGTTGCTATTCTTACTCTAGGTCTAACCACAGTATAGTACCAGCTTATACTTGCTCCGAGTGCCAACACTCAACCAAGCACTTTATATACCTCATCCTAACTCATCTTCACAAAAACCTTATGAGGTAAGTACTGCTGTCATCCATGTGGCATGTAAGGAAATGCGGGTAGAGAGGGGCTCAGTAAGTGCCCAAGGTCACAAATAATGAATGGCAAGAGCCAGGATTTGAACCTCTGGTTCCAGAGACCTGACTATTAATGACTTTGCTACATCACCCCTTAAGAATAAGGCAAGGAAGGCCTGGTTTAAGATCTCAGTTTAATGGACTCTTGGATGAGTAGGACTGCTATGCAAACATCCCACACACTCAAGCTCGGATCAATTTTCCAGCTTCAAATTACTCTTATTTGTCTCAATCTCATAACTACCTACAAGGTCTTGCCAAGTTGTCTATTAAGGTCTGAATTTCTTTGTAGGTAAGTTCCTTACTGTCTCCTTGGGCAAAAGTCAATGACATTCACTAAGAAAATTTACAGGAGGTCATTGGTTTGGTTGGAGCTTCTGCACCAGGTTCAACAGACCAAACCAAAATTGAGTTACTTAAGCTTAAGTTCCATGCTACCAAGCTGAAATGAAGTTAGTCTGAGATTGGGGAGGAGGGGGAGAGGGAAGGGTGAGAGAGACAGCGAGAGAAGCTAAATTGCCCAACAGGCCAGCCTGAGCTGTCATGACAAGGGAATCCCTTTGTGTTAACCTTTCCAACTCAAGTAACACAGAAATGACCAATCCACTTTCTGTTCTGTTTCTGCTTTCTTCAGTCCTTTTCTGCCAATAAAAGTCAAAAACCAACTTCCCTGCTCAGCTCATAGGAACACTCACTAATTATCAGAATGAGATGCTGCTTGATTCTAGAGTCACAAATAAAAGCCAATTAAGATCTTTAAGTCTGAGCCGGGCTCGGTGGCTCAGCCTGTAATCCCACGCCTTTGGGAGGCTGAGGCGAGTGGATTGCCTGAGCCCGCGGTTCGAGACCCA